GGGGGTACTCGCTTCGGTCGCCCGCTTCAACGTGCGCTTTCTCCCCCGTGTAGCCTTTGCTGGAGGAGGGCGAGACCTGGAAGGAGTGTCAGCTCGTCCAGCAAGTGAGCGGCGAGGTGAGGAGAAAACCTTTCCAGCTGTTCCATTGCTCTCCCTTCACCCACCCCCGTCCCGCTTCGTTCCCTCGCAAATCTGCTCCTTGAGCTTTCCACTTGACACCCCCTCCCCACCCCTGCCACGCTTTTCCTCCAAAAAATAATTGCTTTCTTATTAGGAATAAAAATACTTACATGATGGGGGGGGGGAACTCAAGTGTTATTACTTTATTAAATAATAGCAACCTACCATCTAAATTTGGTGTTGGTAGTCTGCAACAACATTCGAGTGGGTGGCTGCAAGTAAATTTCTTACTTGAAATAGAAGATGTAAGGGATCAAGCGCAGATATTTTCCCCAGGATTTTTGCACGCTGCAGTGATAACTTTCCATTTGGCAACCTGGTCTGGCACTGAACATGCTCTTTGTGCAAAAAAACCCCTGAAAGCTCTAAGATGAAGAACACCACCTTGCACTTTGGCCATGCACAAGTAACTAACCCAATTACCTAAGTCTATGTCGTTCTAGATGGGAAAAGTGCTTTTCCTCTTTCCAGTGAAGCAATGGAAAAAATTGTCTTGAGTCTGTTTATAGCTTCTTGCTAATGCTGAATAGCTGCACTCAGGTCGCATCTCCTTCCTAAAAAAGCACTATGGTTTTGAACTCCAGGTCACAAAATGGATTCAGACAAACCAGAGGATCAGAAAAAGCAGCAAAAAGAAAAGAAAGCAGGATGAAGTTGTTTTCCAAAAGGTAAGGGTTCATGATGCGTGTTTGTGTAATAGGACAAAGGGCAGCACATCCAAAATGCTTTCCAGTGACGCCCTCTTACACCCTATAGACACGTTATTTAGCTTCTTCAACAAGGTGATAGTAAAAGGGTGTTACTGAGAAAGTTTCCGTGTCACTATGTAATTACAATAGAAAGAAATTAATAATATTTTCAGGTGCCTGTAACTTAGGAGACACAATTTCCCTGTATTTGTATTTAACTGGAACATTCTGAAGAAGAAAGAAGAGTGCTTTCATCAGAGAAATAAATAGCACTTGGGAGGTTTTGACAGGACCTGCACCACTATTCGCAATTTTCAGATACTGGTTGTTGAGAAACAGTTTTCATGGTACATATTGGGACAAAAATAGATGGGATACGTATGTTGAAACAAATGTTCTGACTATGCAGTTGCTTATTCATTCAGAGGGTGAGTTTGAAAATCATCTATTTGCAATATAGATTTCAATTAATGAAAATGTGGCTGGATGGTTATTTTTAAAATTACTACAGAGGATTTTTAAAACTGAATACAACCTAAATTAAGCTGTCTTTAAACTGGTGATTTTTGATTTAGCTATTGTGAAGCGTTTGTTCTATAATGTTGAATTCGCCATTTAAATCACAATGTAGAGAGGTAAGTAATTAGCTGACACTTCTACTAAATAGCTGTTTTCTGTCCTCTGAAAAAAAAAAGGTGAATAAAGATGCATTTCCAAATGCATTATTAGAACCATGTTTTGTTGCTTGCTTTACTTTTACAAAGGAATTTATAATTATTATTTTAAACCCTTGTTACCTTTAAAGGATTAAAATAGCAGTGTGTTGTTTTGCTGTTTCAACAGTGCTTCTAGAATGCATGATGAATCATTGCTGTTTCTGTAGCCAAATTCTTGCTGATAGCATGGCTGCCAACTCCTGGGATGTGTTGCCTTAGTATGGGCATTGCAGTATATGACAAATGTCTACAAAGTGCATTGTTGTGTGGGGGTGATTTACCAGCTCCATGGTGAGATAAAAAACCACCAAATAGTGTCTTTTAATTCACTACTTTTTTTATTTTGTAACTGGAATACATCGTTTGGGAAAGATGTTCCGTGTTGTTATACTTAGAATGACATGATCTAAACAGACATAGCATAAACTGTTGCACCAAATAATTCTATTTCTGTTTATATTTCTGTATGTGAACATTTGTTTGCATGTATGTGTAGCATTTGTATTTACAATCATTTTATGTTAAGATGAAGAAGAATTTTTTAATTTAAAAAATGTATCTTCATGTGAATTTGTGAGCAAATTGGATTGACGGTACAAGTAGGCCTAGTACAAGCTACAGTCTGCACACCTTGTGAAGCAATTTTTAAATGGTACGAAGTAGGTCCTCTGCTATATCTTAACAGTAGGCTTAAAGGTACCTTATGCTGTTACAGCCCTCCTCATCCCTTTTTATAGGAGAATGCTTCCTCAGTGCAAAACCCCTTTGTACCGATAAAATTCCATTTCTCTTGGGGGGGTTGTTTTCCTCCTACTGCTCCAAGGTTTGTGAGAGAGAACGTCAGCATGTAGGCTTGCCGTGTTGGAAATGCAAAACCCAATGTGTAAACCTAAGATACACTCACTGTTTTTGTTAAACGGTAATTCTCGAGTAAGATCTGTGAGCAGAAATGTGAATTAAAATTGAAGGCAAGAATGCACATTGTCTTCTAAGAGCCATAAGTATTAATAATTCTTGGAGGTTCAGTGCAGATTCACATCACTGCATCAGCAGGGTGCTTAACCCCATGGGAAGGAAAAGGTGTAACAATAACCTTACATTTGGTAGCGGAACCGTTGACTAGGCACTGAGGGTGGGATTCTTCATGTTCCTTAGAAGTTTGGTCATTGCAATGGCGACTTTTCCAATGCAGTTAGAGACAAGAGAAGAGAAAAAGAGCGAGGGACCTCTCTGGTGCTGGCAGAGCTTTATTGTATTATTTGGTGTCAGAGTTGGTTACAGCTAGGTTTCCAATATGGACTTAGCAGTCAGTGTGGTACCCAGTCAGTGTGAATGGTGCTAACCTCCGTTCCATTAGAATTCTTGATTTTTAGCTGTTTTCATTTTGGCTTGTAGCAGAAATGGCATAATACAGCAGTTGTGGTACTTCTTTGGGGATAAACAAGAGAACAAGAAAGAAGAAAGCACGTAATGGAAATGTAAGGCACCCATGAAGAAAGTAGCAGAGGTAGGAATGAAACCATCTAGTGAGAAGAGCGAGGTGAGAAGCAGAGCAATAGGTAAACAGAGAAGTCAGAGAGCTGGTACCAGCTCATATCACAAGTGTAAGGAAACTGATGTATTTTGCTATATCTAGAAAACTGAGCTTTGTGTTGATCTTGCTTATCCTTTCAAAACAATCACTAACTTATTAAATGTAGCTTCTAAACTTTCATGTGCCTGTGCTGTCCGATTTTCCTCTATCATTTTTTTTCTTTGTGATAGGAAGTCCTATTTCTAATACAAGATGGATGACTTTGCTATACTGAGACACCGCCAAATCAAAGCAACTGCTTCTGCATCCAAGTACAAAATCTAGGACAGAGAGATAACTCTGTATGGAATAAGTGAAACAGAATTGTGGAGGAAAGGTTGCTGACAACTGCCGGGGAATTACTTCTTGAAAAAAGTTGCCTTCTAAACAGTTAAGTTTGTAGGAGCTGACTTTACATACGCGTGTCTCTATTTAAAGAACATTTGAAGATACCACGTGCTGGATAAGAACTGTTTAACTGGTAGCGTTAACTGCACTCAAGGGGCATATGAACCAGTGGGGAAGCTTGTGTAGAAAGGTGTGGTGCTGCTCTCCAGTGTGGACCCACATATGATGGATTACAGCAGCGTAACAAATTCTGTGGGTGAGAAAGACTTTCAAGTCAGGTAACTAGAGGGTTCTTGTTCTTTTGCTCTTCTTCTCTCGCTCTCTCTTTTTTTTTTTTTCTCTTTGAGCTTTATTTCCTTTCAAACTTTTTTGCTCCTTTGTCTCTGAAGTAATTTTATTTTCATAGCAGCTTTTATTACAATCTTTCCTTTCTGAATGCTTCTTTTTCACACCTCTTTTCTTTCTCTGTTCTCCTTTGTCTCCTTTGATCACCTTCAGTACTGTTCATTACTTTCTATTTATTTTCAGTCACTTTTTCTGTTTCATAAGTTATCTTTTGCTCACCTTATTTTCTGCTTATGGTATTCTGTAGATACTCTTTTTATGACGTGTGTGTGCACATACACAAGTTAAAACCCACTCACCCCTTGCTTTTTCATCCTTCCTATTATTATACGTTCTTTACTCATTTAATCTTATGCTGTCTCTTCATCTTGTCATTTAGTTGGTCAGCGTATCTAGCAATCAGAATGTGTATCAATACAGAGTGTTGTTTGTGTGAGAAAATTAGAGAGGGTAGAACTGAGTTTGGAAAGAATTGGTTGATTAAAATTAGCGTTTTATTATGAAGAGTGTGATAGAATTGCTAGCTGTTATTATTATGTTTGTTGTTATACTGGACTGTGCCTGCTTGAAAAAAGGTTCCATTATCCATGCCAGTGCTGAGTGTTAGGCAGAAGAAAACAATCTTTCAATCAGACTGGTTGAGTTGTAAGCATGCGGTCTGTATCCACTGTGGAATTTGAGGGGGCACATGTCTTTTTATTAGGAAACTGATTCACTTTATCTGAAGTTCAGTGTTAAAACATAAAAACTGCTTTGAAAGTATTGCAGTGATAGCACAAGTGTCATAGGATGAGATAGCAAAGATACACAGTAGTGTCGGGAGCATTGAAATATGTGTGTATGTGTATACTAGGTAAGGAAGATGATTTATGCAAATTATCAAAATTACATTTGTCTATTTCAGTTTTAGTTTGATTCTATACTGAAACTTTGAGGAAGAATTCAACTTTCCCAGAAAAAAATCTGCTGCTTTCTCAGAAATACTGTTTTCATGTGTTCAAAGTTTGTCTGGTAGTTTACTAAAAATGTGATTGTCTTTGTTTTTTTCCTACTGGTTGTTGCTGTTGGCCATTCTTCTTACTTCAGAGATTTACAATTGTTAGTATTTAAGCTCTGTTTATAACCTGAGCAAAAAAAAACTTTGTTGAAATAACTGTTAAGTTTCTAATAAAATAAAAAAAAAAAGAAAACAGTTGTGATATGTATGACTAATGCTAAATGCTATAACTCTTTGTCCTTTAACAATGAATTCACCAGTTTAACTGAAACACAAGAAACAAATCTTGTAATTCATTAAAATGAGTTGTGGTGTTATACTTCAAGGAGAAAATGTTTTGAAGTCACAGCAAAAATAGCTAGGGAGAAGAAAATACAATGTGGTAAAAGACAGCTTTTATTTAACTAGGGAATTTATTCAGGATGATGTGCTTCTGCTAATTCAGGTGAGGGAATATTAACATATAATGCATTAAAGTTACTTTAAATTTTAATTACCATGTATTTTTTGTTTCTCAAAATTAATGTTTTTACTTGAATCCACCAAACTGAGAGTCAAAGCAAGGATCAAATCTGAAAAATACCTCTTGAGCTTATGCATTGTATACTACTTAACAGCTGAAAGAAACATGGTAAAAAGTCCTAACGTGTTCTTTGGAGTGTTCGGTGGAGTCACTATGCTGTATTTTACCTTTCCAAATTCTGTTAATCTCATGAAACTTTCTAGGCACCCTGTAAATGTATTTGCTGGCCTTCACTGATTGCAGATAACATGTAATCCCTTTGGCAAACAGGGATTTGGATGGAAAATGTCATGTACAAGACCTGAATTGCAGTAAACGTTAAGCTATCTGAGAAATAGAGCCTGTCATTTTAAAAACTTTTCCCCTGAATACATATGAATATAATTTTAGGCCATTAAAACTAAATATTTTCACCATTTAGTTTTCCATCCCCATAAAAACATCTGTATTTATGGATTGTTTGGAAGTGGTAATTGT